GCCGCGTAAACGAGCACGGATAGTGTGCGTATAGAGGCGTTTATAATTATTTCTCGAAAATGATATTTCGGAAAACAACTTCGTCACACATGGTTGAATTCGTATTAAAATAACCTTTAATTTGGTTAAAAAAATAATTCAAAAAATTAAAAAAGTTTGTTGGGGGGGATAAACAAAAATTAAGCAATAAAAAATTATTTTTAATTATAATCATAAAGTACTCTTAAAGCCAACTTTTCAACTTTTATTCGGAACCTTTTTTTTCTATCTCTCCTAGTTTCGACGATATTTGCATTGAAATAGAAAAACCGATTTTTTTCTAAGGAGTGTTTCACCCCTTAAAAGCGCGAAGCGGCACAAATTTGCGGTAACTTAATTTTTGGTTTTGTCTAGAGAATAACATATCAAAAACTCATCGAAATCGGAGGCGGACACTTGAGTCCCTTTCCTTGTTAGTTTTCAAGTAAGAATTTTCGAAAAATAAATTTTTAAATAATATTTAATATTTAATAATAAAAAGCGATATATTTCTTTCATTCAATGTCGGTTATAATAATGCTTGGAAAAAAATACAAATTTTTTATGTAAAAGTCATATATTGTTATATCAGTAATAAAAAATGCAAAAAATAAAAACACGCATTTAAAAAAATTTTTTTTATTTTTTATTAGTGATATTGTAATGTACGACTTTTTTTACATAAAAATTTGTATTTTTTCCCAAGCATTATTATAACCATTGTTGAATGAAAGAAATATCGCTTTTTATTATTAAATATTAAATATTATTTAAAAATTTATTTTTCGAAAATTCTTATTCGAAAACTAAGGCCTATTAGATCAAACGCTCGGACACTCTATCTTTATTTTGCCTCTAATTTCACCAAAAAATTGGGATTAGGATCCGTACACTGCTTTCCCCTTGTAAATTTTCTTTACATCATTTTATGTCAAATATAGCACGATAAAATATAAAATATCTCGTAAATTATTGATTTTTCAATAATTCTACCAACAGATGCAGAATTTGAGATGCAGAATAATTTAAAAAATCATATTATGTAAAAAAATCATATTTCATTTAAAAAAAAGGAAGTGGCCTTCATATTTTTTTGACGTTTCTATCTAAAAGAAAACGACGTGACCAAAATACATCTTCGAAGCTGTACAACTTTCACCTGAAACATTTTTTCGTATTATCAAAAATAAGTGAGATATTTAATGTATTCGATTTAAGTGGACCACCCTGTAATAAGTTTAAGATAAAATAAATACAACTTTATAAAAAATTACTGATTTATAATACTTCTTATTGTAATATATAATACTTCTTATTACAGCACAAATCGGTCTAATTAATCATAGACCAAAAGATATGATTAATGTTCTCATATAAAATAAGTTTGATCTGTTCGCTTGCTAGGGTAAATAAAAAATAAAGAAAGTTGAAAAGCTGACAAAACACAACCCATAAAATTTGGTATTTGTATAAATTGATCACTGAGAAGACATCCATATGCAAACCACTGACAAGACACTATCATAGAGGACATTATGACTGGAAATGGTAAACTTTCTGTACTTTTCACTCTAATCACATGTGCCTATAACAAATTTATAGCTAATTATTACCAATACATAAACTTATTATATTATAAATCAGTATATTAAAAATGTATATGTTAAAAATATATATAAAAATGTATTTTGCAATCAATAATTTTAATAAGATTTATTTAACAAAATGTGTATTGTAAACATAAATAAAAAAATATTTTATACTTACAAGTGATATTAATGGCGATGCAAAGAATAATATAGTCAAGCTGCAACTAAGAAATCCTACATGTTTTGCAGCCAAAACTCTGTTTTTTTGATAAATACTGTAGAGATATATAAGCAAAACCAAACAAATCGCTACTGTAAACTGCTTAATAGTAGTTGACCTTTTTACATTGTATAACATATAAATTAATACATAACATATTTGTAATATTGTTCCAAATATATTTACATATATAATGAACAAATCTCCAATAAGAATTCCATATCTCAGCCACAAACTACAACTGTAATGATAAAAACATAATCCTAAATTAATTATTTGTATTAATATTGGTGAATATTATTTTACGATACATGTGACAAATGATATAATATTAATTATGTTATGATACATACGACATAAAACATGTCACAAAAGCCAATCCTGAACTATCTCCAGTTGTACCATTTCTAATATATTTTTTGCATACCAATCTACAAGAAAATTCATTAATTTTATTTTATTTGATATTTAAATTAGTTTAATTATTACTATTATATAATAAAATATCTTATCCGATATAAAAATACTTAACAAAATATACAATTATGTGGCAACTATGCTAAGCAAAAAATGAATAAAATATTATATGTCTAATGATATGTAAATAAAATAATTATTTGAAATGAGATACATAAATGGATAGTTCATTGTTCAAAATGTTGAAACATAAAATATTTGATCCTAGATTGACATATGAGTTCAGTGGTTTTATCGCTCAATATTAACTCGATAGTGTGACGTTATCACAATCGCATATGTACAGTTTATGCAAAATGTTTTTATTGAATTACGCTTGTTTTTATTGAATTATTAGTCATATGGAGACTAACTTTTGACTAGGATTTGCTCGATAAAACCACCTTAAATAAGTTTATATTAAGTTAAATATATTTTTAACAAAAAGAGTATACTATACTAAAAAATTTTTTAATAAAACTAAGTTTTTTCCCCTTTTACTCCACTGGCTGATGGATTATAGCGCCTTCAACCTTCTCGCAAGGTTATATAGCGCAAATAAAACTAAGTAAATTATTTAAGGTTATTTGTATTATGTTACTTACATGCCAGCTAGAAACTGTAAAATAGTACAAACTGATGCAGATAATGCAAGTACATCCTTAATCTCCATCGAAATCATAATTTAGAATATGCATTTCTTCCAGATTAATTGTCATTTAATAGTTTATCTAGTTCTTGCATGTAACTATAGATAAGTACTGTAAGAGAAACAATGAGTAAAAAGACACAGGAGAGAACATATGGTTTTGAGCAAGGGGACGGAAGTGCTATAGATAAGAAAGGTCGCTCAAGATGGCTGCTCAAGATGGCCGCTCAAGGGCGCTAATATTGAATGATTTTTTAATATGTCAGTATAATGGCGATACTGGCGAAGTATCTCAAATTTTACTGCGATAATTA